AATATTTTGAACGCGATTGCTATGAGGGCAATAACAAAACAACGAGGCCAAACTCTGGACAAAACGACGTCTTTTACTATCGCAGCGTGGCATTTAATAACAACAGCTCTTACTGAGGCTATCACGAATGTAAATTTATACAGAACAGCAGGCCGCCACCGGCTCCGGCTGGGTTGCCAGTGCCATTTTTGATTTTTGCTCAAATGTCAAAAATTTTTACGGTTTCGTTAACTTTTACCCATCACAAACATAGTGTGTACTGAAAACTCTACATTTTGTCATGTAACTATTACGCGAACTGCGAAAAAAGAAAGACCTTTTGACATCATGTCTCTACCTTCATTGGCATACACTATTTAATTTATATATGGTTTACAAATAATAAAAATCTGTTAAAAAATATTTAAAATTTCACCACGTTAATTTAATTTTTTTCTAAACATTGCGAAGATAATTTTTTTATCTAAAATTGCGAAAAAAATGCTAAATCTGGCAATTCCGAGAACAGCAAGCCACCACCGGCACCGACGAGCGATGCCATCGCTCTGTTTGCTTTGCGCAAATTGATTCCGAATCGGAGATTCCTTAAATTGTTTGTTTTTAAACAAGTTTAAAGCTGAGGCACGGAATTTTAAACGGCCTTTGGAAGTTACGAAGAATTTATTGTCGGTAGAGGTCGGAGAGGGCGCTGAGAGCTCTCCGTTTGGTTCGAGTCCATAAAAGCCGCACAGACTTATGTTTGAAATGTTTAAGTCACTTGTTTAAGGAAATATGTAAATTGTTAATTTTTTAGGAAACCAAATAAGAGACTTTTATAACTTTTATAAGGGAGACGTTCTCAATAGAATTGCGTTTTTTTGTTACGTAATACATATTTTTGTTAATTGTATTTGATTATTCTTTATTTATGCCTTTTATATTATTTACTTATTTTTTATTTATATTTATAAAAAACTACAAGCTACTCTCAGAACTTTAGGCCTTGTGAATTATTACTAATGTTATAATTTTGAAAGTAAGTTGGTCTTAACAGCTTAGCCAATTGTCATGAATTTTTCTTAAATCATGTTTCATGTGTTAGAAAAAGATATAAAATTATTTTTTATCACTTCACGTAGACGAAGTGGCGGTTATTAGCTTGTTTGTATATAAATGTTTCATTATGTTCAAACAGGTTCGTAATTACAGGGAATAAGTTTAATTAAATGATATATTATAGGGTAACTAGGCATTACGAAGGGGAATGCCGTAGGTACGAGGCGAGTACTCCTGTCTGATAATAACAAACGGCTCCCGGGAGGGTCCTAGGTGCCTTTCGCTTGAAGTACCTGAACAATTGCAAACGGACAAACATTTGGGAACATAATTTTAACAACGCTCCGCTACCCCAGTAATATTACTTGACGCAAATTAAACGTGTAATTGTGATAATTTAAATATAGAAGGACTTGTCACGTAGCGCCATCTAGTCACAAACTAAACAGAGTTTGGTCTAAGTATACTAGGCGACTGGTAGACTTCAGTTTATATGATATATATCTATGTCCCACTTATGTTTATGTCATGAAGTAGTTAATCTCCATTATATCAGCCGTTAATTGCCCACTGCTGGACATAAGCTTCCCCTTAACACCTTAGTAGGTACTCAATACTTGTTCAGTCATTATTATACTTATATTTGAAGAACTCAGTCAAGAAAGAGATTCATTGAGCAATAATGAATGGAGATGTCGGTAGGGGTCGCCCTACACGGACGTATATCGACCAAATGGGCTACGTACTGAAAAAGGGCCAAATTAAAAGTACCCGTAACCGGCGAGCGTGTATGAAAAGATTGATGAATGTGGAAGAAGCGAAAGAGGTTTGTTTGACTCGAAGCATTTGGCGTTCCATTGTTACTGCCTACCATAATGGGAGACAGGCGTGACAGATATGTAACGTATACGTACGTATGTAAATGTTAACGTATGAGGGGTACATAATTCATTGCTTATTTTGTGATATTTTTGATTTGTAAAGTTGGTTATTGTAATCTTTTGGAGCAAACAATAAAGGGTATTTATGTGTTTATCTATACACCGTGTTGTCCATATGTTTTATTGACGGTGACCACTTTCCATCATGTGAACTATCACCTTGTTTTTAATTCCAAATTGTCGAAGGAACTTTTCACAAACAATAACAGAATTTTACTGTTCTCTGTTAATTCAAATAAGCAGATACTAACAAAGTATCTGCCCTTCTAGATCCATGGTACAAACGAGTCCATTATTAGAATCGCTTCGGTCAGCGTTCAGATGGGAAGAAACAAGACAGCGCACGCCGTTATCTCATTCTATCTCACGGACTAGCTAGCGATAACGATTCTCTCAATAGATTCGTTTTTACATTGTCAAGGGCAGCTGTTTCATTAGTGGAAGACGACTGTGAACGCCACCCCACGCGTTCAACCGTCAGTAGCAGGGGTCGTGATCTCGAGGGGACACAGTTCGATTCCGGTGTGGTTCGCGCTCGAGCCAACACCTAGCCTCCATTGTCGTAAACAGTAATTTGAAGCAACAATGTGCGAGATATGTTTGTAACACAAAAAGGGGGAATTGATTGATGATTAGCGGTTATTGTGCTGAGTTAACTAAGTCATTAATGCACGGTTATGTGTATGCACGATAACACTCGGTTGTTTACTAATGTTTTTATTGAACCAAGTTATAAAGTGAAAATTACAATCTGTTAAATTCCCCTTTATAATTAATCTGGCATATTTTATGTGAATTTCATGTACTAGTATTTAGCGGTGGGTGGCATTTAATGAAGCTTAAAATAATTTGAGTGTTGTACACATATAATATACAATATTTATGAAAACATAATGTATGTAAGGAAAGACTTAGAATCTCTTACCCAAGTAAGTGACTATAATAATAAAAACTTATGCCATAACGACAAATTCTTGTTGCCAGTTTGTAAACTAAAAAAGGTGGGTAATTCTTAGGAAATTGTTTAAGATTTTATATAAAGAAAATACCAAAATCTATGATGGACGTACTTGAAAGATGTTTTAAAGCTGTTGTAAAAAAATAATCTCTCTGGAAAGGTCTATTACAATATAGACGAATATATTAATGATATATTAATATATTAATAACCGAGACCGTTTCTGTACATAGAATTATTTTATACTCGTACATTGTAAAGGTAAAGTCACAAATTAATAACAACTCAAGATTCAGAATCGAAGACTTCTTAAATATGTGATTTATGTCATCAACACACATATCCAGGACACTGTTGTGTGTAACTTTTCTATGGAAATGCGTATTTAACAGCGTAAGAACTTTACCATTCTAAACGCATTTATGTGTATTTTTTTTTAAGATTAGTTAAGCTGTTAAAACTTTACATAATTCATTTTTACATTTACAAATGTTAGTTTCGATGACTTACGTTTTTAAAGTTTATCTCGTTTTCTACAGGACAGGACAGGCTCAGACTAGTGTAGGAATCAGTGTTAAACTTTGTTCTTTTACAAACATACTTTGATAATAAATACATTTTTACTTTACTTTGTTTTTATACTGCAACATTTAAAAGTCCTGAATTGAGTTTTTCCTTCCGAATGGATGCTGATCTCCAGTCTATAGTTTCATGATGAGGGTTGCACCGCCCGCCGAATATTCATTTCAGGTGTTCTAAAATATAATTTATGGTTGGCGAGGCAACCGCCCTCTGCTCGTATTAAATCCCCGTGAAATATTCATGGCTTATTGCACCTGCGCACCACAGTTTAATTGTATGAATCATTTCACACACACACGTGTATAATTTTTCAATTTCTTGCTGAATGTCCGAAGTCCCACTTTGGGGGAATGACTAACGTTTATTTGATTACTATCTCTAGAAAGGGGTAATACAAGTTTCAAGTTCTGTTTCTTATCTGTTTGTGAGTCTATCACTACTTTGCCATGTGGTTTTTGTTTGTTGACTAGTACAATCAGGATTTTATTATTTATTTTAAATAAAAAATTGTTTTTTGCTTAGATTGGAATCTGGTGGTGCTCAAGGTGGTGGTCAAGCTGGTGGTCCATTTGATAGAAATCTGTCATCTATTGATATGAACAGTACTATAACTACGATAAATCTAATACGGCCATAATACTTATGCGAAGCTTTATTATTTTGTACTACAATATTAACAAACAGACATACGGCTCATTTGATGTTAATTACAGTAGTTTTAATACACTCTCTTTAAAGCATTATACATAAACAAATAAGAAGCAAAAATCCACGATAGGTAGTTTTCTGATATTTTTGTTTTTTATACTATAATGCGAGTATTAACTAAAAGGAGTGCATTTTGTATGGTAAATAAAAAATAAAAGTAAGTGTTTAAATAAATATAGACTAGTGTCACTCGGAATGAAGTAAGGATGTTCTAATGATACTCCATACATCAAAATTTGTTTAGGCATTTAGAAGTTAACTAATGAATCAATTAAAAAAAAATTATATCTATAAATAGTTATGTCAGCGAGTAACATGGGCTCTTCTTTTAAAAGTTTCCTCTTGTCGGTGCAACTAATTCATGCATCTTCTTACGGCCAGCTCTATCCCGGGCCATATCCTTGACCTCCCTATACAACATGACACCTAGTGTTTCTTTTATCTGTCGCATGTAGTTATTCTTCGGTCTTCCTCTTTTGCCCTCTATTTTTCACTCTATTATGCTCTTTAGAAAACCGTCATGTCATATAAGATGGTCCAGCATTTTGCCTCTTCTATTCTCTATGGACTATATTAGTTTATTAAAAAAACTTGTGCAAAGCTGGGGCCATTCGTTAGTGTAAATATATACATACATACAGGAAAACTACTGTTTTGGGCATCATGTAAATATATATCGTAATGTTGGGCGGCGCGGCTGGGCGGGCGGGCAGCGGGCCGGACGGCCGGACGGCCGGGCGGCCGGATGACCGCACCGTTCACGGGCCGCGCGCACTGATTACGCGCGCTTGTCGGATTTATGTTCGTACTTGTAGCCGGTCGACGACAACACGCGGATTCATTAAGTCGACCGGCCCACAGGACATACAGTTTGAATGCTTTGCTCTGTCCGTCTGTACTGTCGGTGCACGGCAAATGTTGTTTACCCAGTGTACGAGGTCTGTCCGGAAAGTTCGTATAAAAGTGTTCTGGAATGCGAGAAAGAGGAGTGGGGAGGCCAGGTAAGCGCAGGACCCCTTCCTTATGTCCCTAACAATGCTTCAGTTCTGGTCTGACCGCCGTGCGGTGCGAACTGGCTTGTCACGCCATCTGTGAAGTTACCTCTTAACGAAACCCCGTCGGCATGGAGCCCGCTTCCGTTGAAGAGCAGCGCGTCGTAATCAAGTTTCTCTCGAAACTCGGCAAGAATGGCCGTGAAATTTTTGCCGATCTCAGAACAGTTTATGGGGATGATGCTGTGAAGGAACCAACCGTCCACAAGTGGCTAAAAAGATTCAGAGAGGGCCGAGAAAGCGTTCAAGATGACCCACGTTCAGGACGTCCTTCCACTTCACATTCCGACGAAAACGTGGAAAGAATTCGAACTTGTGTTAATGGGGACCGTCGTTTAACGGTCAGACAGGTGGCTGAAGAGCTTAATTTGGGCAAAACCGTGGTCCACGAAATTCTAAGAAACGAACTTCAAATGAAAAAAATTTGCGCCAAGATCGTTCCCAAGCTTTTGTCCCCGGATCAAAAATCACGAAGAGTTGCTTGCTGTGAGGACTGTTGTTGGCCCCGTGTGACTTCTTCTTGTTCCCAAAAACCAAATTGGTACTTCGGGGGCGGCATTTGGGGGACATAAATGAGATAAAAAAAGCTACGACGGGGCAGCTGAGAAACCTACAACCAGAGGACTTTCAAGGAGCCTTCTCACAGTGGAAACGGCGTTGGCACAAGTGCATTATGTCACAGGGGGAGTACTTTGAAGGGGATAAAATTGATTTACCTGAATAATTGTAAAATAAAATTTTTAAAAAACTTTTATACGTACTTTCCGGACAAACCTCGTATATTGTGACTGCATGATGAAATCTATATTATTAGTGTACTTATAAAATAGTATTCCAACTTTCTAACTGACATAATAAAACTGTATTTAGACAATGTCTGTTCATTGAAGGCATTTAAGAAAATTGGTATCAGGGATCTTAACAGCAAGTGAAGCCAAAACAGTAACTTTTGTTTGATTATAAGTTTGTTCCAGTATTTTGCAAAAACATCATAACATCGAGTTAAATGTATTTTTTTTCTAGTTATGTTCTCTCACTGTGGTCATTTCTTGTGATTGTTTGTATCTATAATAAGTTAATTATTTTAATCTTGTAGAGGAAATGATAAAGAGTATCTATCTATCTATGTTCCTATAGTCTAACTTAAAATCCCATGTATATTTTATCTTGATACGCCATCTATAAGTTACCTATTTTTAAAATCTATACGTACAAAATTGAAGGCAAAAAATCGTTCCTACTAATATCCTATTAATACAATAAATACATAGGTTTGTAATGGTGAATGGATGGATGAATGGATGGATGGATGGATAGATGTTTGTTATTATTTTACGCAAAAACTACTGAACGGATTTTTTTTCCCTTCAAGCCGAAACACAACTGCTTTACGATTGAAACACGAATGGGACAGAGGTACCCAAGCAATCGACAATTTTTTGTACAAAGTCTCCCTCTGGTAAAATGGGTTTGAAGGATATTTGGTAGACGGATAGGTTATATCCTATCTAAATACACTAAATAATTACTGATTCACGCGGGCAAAGCTGCGGGATGCAACTAGTTATGAATATGACAGTGTGTTTGTTTATTTATTACCTTGTCGTATCGGTCTACCAGTTGTCATGAAACATACCGAGTACTTTTATCTATGTCACGTAGACGAAGTTGCATTTTTAGCTACATCAAAAGGAATTTTCTCAATTGTGCGCGTATTATTTATTTATTTAATTTATAAGCAGTCCTAATTAATGAACAATATATAAGATGTACAATGACAATAATATACCTACAGCTTCCTACAATAACATTTAACATTTACAGAAAACACCCACCCACTGAAAAACAGCAATGTAAAACTAACTCAGAACTTTAGTCAAGATATTCCTCAAGGTTGCTAATAACCGATTACTTAATAAATCTATGTCCATAATACTAATTTGTCATTGTACAATTTCATTCATCATTTCAGCCATTATCCGTCCACTGCTGGACTTAGGCCTCCCCCATAGACTGCCATAAGGAGCGTACAAATTACATATCCTTATTTATTTATTTATTACGTCCACTGGGTGAGCCTTACAGTCTTCCAATACGCTCACCTATGAAAGCATGAGTACAATAACATATAAAAAGGAATATTACATAAAAATATTAAGCAAAAAATAATATAAAAAGATTTAACTGAAACAAAAAACATCTGAACACAAATACTCTGTGGTCACTCGACGAAACTCTAGCAAGTTGGAGGCAAATACATCCAATTGCGGATACTGGCTCAAAATATCATTGAGTAGTTTCAATGCAAGAGATAGGGGATTATTATTATTATGTGATATTACCGCCAGTTCATAATGGTTTTAAGGGCTTCAAAGTAACAGAGGGAGACTTTGTACAAAAGTCGATTGCTTGGGTACCTCTGTCCCATTTGTGTTTCAACCGTGAAGCAGTTGTGTTTGCATGGCTGTGTTTCGGTTTGAAGGGTGGGATATGGCGTGAATTTACTGGGTACAGAGGAATAACATCTGAATCCTCAGGAGTGGCAACGCATGGGGTGTATCATGGGCGAAACAGTATACTCTGTTATATCCATGGTACTGCTCATGTCTATAGGCGACGGTTAGCACTTTCCATCAGGTGGGCCGTCAGCTTATTTGCCATTCTAAGTTGTATAAAAAAAAAGTAATGTAATGTTAAAAGCAATTGTTTACCGAATGACTTTATTAATATATTTTTCATATTGTAAGTACTAGTATACTTTGCCATTCATTGTTCTATATTTATTTTGGAATATTGTGAGTTTTAATGCCACAATCCTATTTATTAAAGATGAATGCGTCGTACATCCGTCGCCTTTGGGAGGCAAATCTGCAAATCTGCGGAGGCGCGGATCTTTGCGGATTATCTGCGCCAAACTCGGTAGCAACAAGTTTGCCCTTAACCGTTTGTATTATTATAACATCCAGGATTGGTGAAGATATATCTTTAACTAGAATTCATTCATAATCCTAACTAATATTATAAATGTAAAAGGCAGTTTGTTTATTATTTTTTAGTGTCTTAACGGTTTTACCAAAAATGATAAAATTTCATATACACGTATATAGTAGGTATGGGATGGAAAATTATGTAGGCTACTTTTTATCCTAGTCAGTGAAAGTGAAGTCACGCGGGCGAAGCCGTAGGTAAAAGCTAGTTCAATTGTAATAAGGATCGACCCTAAAGCTCTAATTTCTATCTCTAATATCATAATGTTTGCCTTTTGCATAAAAATATACCAACCTTATAATACTAGGGTTGGTATACCAACTTTATATTAATTTACTAATGAACGACGACTCCAAAGTCTCGCCGTTTTGGAGATTAGAAACTAAATTAATACATAATAATGAACATGACTTTAAGATGAGGAATCAGTCTGTTCAATTTTGAAATCAAACCTTTAATTGTTTAGAACCAGATCTCCAAAAACTCCGTTTCTGGACTATTAATATTGTATAATAGATTTTATATAATTAATAGTGTTCCATAAAGAAACAGACTTCAATTATGACTAACTGATTCATCAGTCATTGATTTTAATACTAAACCGATTTTGTAAAAAATTCTAGATGTTCATGTCTGTCTGTAAGTATATTGTTTTAGATAAAAGAAGTTTCCAAAATGGTTTACAACTGACGGAGTTACGAAGTAACAAACATAAAAAAAAAATACAACTGAATTGAGAATTTCCATCTTATTGAAATAGGTTGAAAACTTATTGCCTTACAAAACATTGTCTGGGCATTCATCTTTTCATAGTTTACGTATCAGATCTTTCTTACGTGTTTAATTATAATACAAATACGGATCAAAAAAAAATAGTCACTGTAACTAACTAGAGAAAATACATATTGCGTACTCAACAATAAATTTAAATATATCAATGTAAAATGGCGGCCTTGTCTAAAAGCAATATTTTCAAGGTAACCTTTTCATAATTCCGGGATGATAAAAATAGTAACGTATTCAGGTACATTGTACTCGTACGTACGTGATCGTACGTTGGCTCTTATTGTTAAATGTATACATTTTTCCATAATACTCAGTATTGAGAAGTACAATAGCGTGGTAGCTATCGGGTGTACTCATAGATTCTCTACGAGTATGTGAATCTTTTTTCTTTTTGTGTTCAGCACGATAGGCATGGTGTTTTATTCTAATGTCTGCAAAAAACATTCTTTCAATTAGACGGTTTTTTATGTTAAACGATTATAATTTGATTTTTTTTATTTTTTTTTATACAACTTAGAATGGCAAACAAGCTGACGGCCCACCTTATGGAAAGTGGTAACCGTCGCCTATAGACATGAGCAATACCATGGACATAACAGAGTATACTGTTTCGCCCGTGATACCACCCATGCGTTGCCATTCCTGAGGACTCAGATGTTATTTCTCTGTACCCAGTAAATTCACGCCACATCCCACTCTTCAAACCGAAACACAGCCATGCAAACACAACTGCTTCACGGTTGAAACACGAATGAATTTAATTAAAAGTAATCACCACAATTTTAAACTAAATTGATAAATACGAGTATTTTAGTAAATAAAAGGAAAGAAGGAGTAATATACTTCCCATATCGGTCGTATAATAATTTATTACGTTTTAGTTTGGATTTATGTTTAAATAAAATACTGATTGTACATAAGTTAGGTACTGTTTACTTACAAATTCTTTTTTGGCACATATTTATATTTTTGATTAGAAATGGCAAAGTTTCTTGTAAAAACAGTGAAATGCTAAAATGAATCAAATTGGTTAATTTTACTTAGGTACGTATCAGGTATTATTAAGTAGATACCTACGTATATGCAGTAGCAAAGTAAATCGGAAATAGTACTCCCTCGCGTAATATTCTTCGATCGTACCTATATAACTGTTCATCGAAGCAAAACGGTTCGTTATGGTCGCCGCGGCGCGGGTCCCGCTTTCGCACCGCTCCGGGTTGAATGAATTCTCACGATCCGGTTTTTTACAGGCTGTCAGGTAACGGAGGGGAGTGCGCGGGGTGCGCGGAACGCGTTTCTCAACGGACACGTTTTATTTAGTGGCTCGTACGAAACGTTGCAATATGGCTGCGTCGTTTGCAGATATAGTGAAGTGTTTAGACAAACCACTGTTAATAAATTTAGTTAAAGAGAGACCATGCTTATGGGACTATACGATGGATAGTTATAAAGATAAAAACTTAAAGCTAACCGCTTGGAGAGAAATATGCACCGTACTCTACGACAGGTTTGATCAAATGACGGACGGTGAACAATTGGAATTCAGTAAGTCGTGTTGTGTTTGTTTAAGTACTAAAGTTTACTATAAATGAACATAAATAAAAATAATAATATAAATAATAATAAAGAGAAAATATCTCGACCTGGCTCACGAGGTGACCGAAATGTGGGGGTGACATCCACCGAAATCATTCCAATCGTTATGTCGGTAAACGGTCTTATCCCAACCAGTCTGGAACAACATCTCAGACGGTTGGGATTCCGAGGCGGCTCACTCCCGGGAAAGATGCAGAAAGCGGTGCTCTTAGATTCTGCCCGCATTGTACGCCGGTTTCTCGCCTTGGGGCCCTGAACCCCGGTCGACTGTGCTTCTGCCGGGGGTTAGTTTGCCATCTCCTCTCCTTAAGAGGGGAGATGTGAATTTTCTAGAAATTTAAATAATAATAAATTAAATACTTAATATAAACTTGTTATCACTTTTCATAAATCAATTTATTTTGAATTATATTTTAGTTCCATAAAAATTGGTCGTTTGTAACAAGAACTATTATGATTGTAGGTAAAATTGTTACAAGAAAATGGTCGCAAACCAGAGATGCTTGGCTGAAGACATTACACGAAACTACGAAGCGACCCTCTTCTAGACCTTATATTTATCACAAACAATTGTTGTTTCTAAAGAAAGTAGTTCACGTAAAGGAAGATGATGAGGATGTTAGTGAAATGCACAAATCCGAACAACGAGAATCAGACGGGGAGAGCCAAAATGAAGAAGCTGGGAGTGAAGGACCAAACGAGAGTATACCGAGAAAGTACGGTAAATCAACGATCCGCAATTTAAAACGGATCCGAAGAATTGAAGTTAAAAAGCACGGATCGAAACACTTATTAGAAAATAAAAATATGTATCAAGGTGTGAAATATGCACGAAGAAATGACGACAGAGTACGTTACAAATCGAATCATGTCGATGATGTAAACGAACATGAAATTCGCCATTTAAACTTTTTTAAAAGCCTCCTGCCGTCGTTGGCGTTTCTAGACGACGATCAAACGTTACAATTCCAAAGTGGCGTTCTAAATCTTTTGCAAAATATCAAAAGAACAAAGAATATGGTCACGAATGCCGCATCGCAAGTGCACCACTCTTCGAGCTACGGTCATGCTACGCCGTCTCCGCATATCCGGAAATCTAGTTCTTATCTAACGGAATCATTATCACGTGACTCGATGCAAAGCTATGACTCCGAAGTCTCGGAAGCCAATTCAGATCCGATTTTTATGCCCAAAAGCGAAATAGAATAGATTTGCCTAGTCATAATAAGCTTTGCCGGTTTAGATTTTATTTTAATTTCATATTACTAGCTTTTACCTGCGACTTCGTCTGCGTGACCGAGATAAAAAGCAGTCTAGCTTTCAATTCAAAATTCAAGTCAAAGCTTTCTGTATTCCATATAGTATGTGTATATCAATTTTATATTTCATAGTGATTGGTTAAGCTGTTAAGGTATTATAAGGTAACAAACAAACTCACTTTCACATTTATAATATTATTAAGGGTTAAATTTATCGTTTTATAAGCGTTATTAAATTATATTCCAAAAAAAGACTTCATTTGCGTTGCCACAAAAGAAGTTATTTAAATTTAAAAATTAACCTTCTGGACCGATTTTGGTAAAATGTCTACGGGACCAATCTATAAGTTTATTTTTTTAAATAAAAAATATTTTTTTAAATCAGATTACAACTGACGGAATTATCAGGTAACAAACATAAGAAAATACAACCGAATTGAGAACCTCATTTTTTTGAAGTCGGTTAATAAAATCACATATTTTTACTGTACGTACATTTTTACTGTATTGTTGGCTAGTTTTACATAAAATTGTTAGATTATTATGTATATAATTATAATTTTTACTATATAATGATACCTTTTCTGTTACCTATATTTCGAGACATCCGTTTCCTAAATTGAACAAAATGTGATCGAACCCAGTACCTCATTTACACAAATCGATATGTCCACCATTGCGCCACGGAGGTTGTTATTAATAGTTACGTTAATAACGTTTAGTTGAACTTGAATTTTCATTAGAATTTTGATATTAATTCATGTAAATTTATGTAAGTTTTCGAGTGGAAGGGGGGGGGGGGAGGAAAAATACATTATAATGTCATTAATATTCAAACATAAGACTTAGGGCGGTGAGAAGGGGAACAAAGCATATCAGCACACCAGCGGGTGAGAGAAGGGAACCTCGAACAAAACCCTACTCAACGAACACTAAGACCTTACGTCGTGCAAATACATACATACATACATTCGCACGAAGGAGTGCACGTAATCATTGCTGGAGTGAACTTCTAGAGTGTAGTCTTTAGAGATGAAAATCTATCTTTTGGAATAAGCTCGCGGGTCCAATGAGAGATAATAGGAGAGGATGAAATCTTTTAATGGATCAAATTTTTTTTTATTGGTGAAAATGGTATGGTAACCCCGCCTGCGCTGACGGGATACGCTGGCGGAGCACCAGTGAAGGGTGATAGATGAGAATGAAAACAGGCCAGTTAGCCCATCATGATGAATTCATCAGGAATTAACCATGATAGTTTCCAGGGCGAACCGCAAGGAGGTCGACCTAGTTGGATATATTGCTAGCAATGGGATTCTCAGTCTCCATTACTAACAATCCCTTTCCTCCCCAAAATGGAATTGTAGTCCTACGTACGCTATCGGAACACGCTAGGAGAGCACCAGTGAGAGATGGTAGGTGAGGATGGACGCAGATATGTTTGGCCATCATAGCAAATTCAATAAGAATTAACTACGATAATTTTCACAGAGACCTATGTGGAGGTTGACCTGATAGGGTAATATTGCTAGTTATGAGTCTGTTAGACCCCATTACCAACAAGTTAGTCCATCGTGGTGATTTTACTGGACGTTAACCATGGGGGCTTGCGTAGAGGCTCAGAGGTGTTCCAGGACAAATTCCCCTTGGTATTTTGAAGTTGATGGTGTATTATAGATCTACCGTGTAAGCGTTTTTCATGTTTGCTCGTGCCGTCGCTATCCATTAGGTGGCGTTAATCCGAGCGCGAAGTCATCGACAAATAAACAAATATATTTATGTGTATGATATTTATATTTTATATAATACTGTGACGTAATATCCTTTTTTTATACAACTTAGAATGGCAAACAAGTTGACTGCCCAACTGATGGAAAGTGGTAACTGTCGCCTATAGACATGAGCCGTACCATGGACATAACAGAGTATACTGTTTCGCCCATGATACCCCCCATGCGTTGCCATTCCTGAGGACTCAGGTGTTATTCTTCTGTACCCTGTAAATTCACGCCATAATATCCCACCCTTCAAAGCGAAACACAGTCATGCAGACAACTGTTTTACGGTTGAAACACGAATGGGACAGAGGTACCCAAGCAATCGACTTTTGAACAAAGTCTCCTTCTGGTATTTTTTTTTTTTTTTTTTTTTATACCACTGAGGTGGCAAACAAGCATACGGCCCACCTGATGGTAAGCGGTTACCGTAGCCTATGAACGCCTGCAATACCAGAGATATTACGCGCGCGTTGCCGACCCTGAAGAAACCTCTTTACCCCCCTTTTGAAGAACCCCATGCTGTAGTCTCTCGGGAAAACCTCGGCAGGGAGCTCATTCCATAACCTGAGTGTTCGTGGGAGAAAGCATCTCTGAAACCGCGTTGTACGCGACCATTTAGGCTGTAAGGTATGAGGGTGAACTCCCTGCCGATGGCGAGCCGTACGATGATAGAAAGTGGCCGTAGGCATCATATTGAATAATTCCTCTGAGCACAATCCGTTGTATAAGCGGTAGAACACGCAGAGTGAGGCAAAATCTCTCCTAAGACTTAAGGGTTCGATACCGCTTGCAAGCATGGGATCATCGACAATTCTCATAGCTCGTCGTTGCACTGAGTCGAAGGGTTCAAGCTGGTATCTAGGTGCTCCCGCACATAAGTGACAGCAATACTCCATATGGGGCCGGATTTGCGATTTGTAAAGCATTAATCGCTGATCCGGCGTGAAGTAATGCTTCGCTCTATTGAGCACACCGAGTTTTTTGGATGCCAGCTTCACCTTATCTTCGAGGTGGCCACGGAACTGTGGTATATAAAATATGTAATAATGAAGACACCCGTGGGGCTAGCGTGGCAACAATGAACCCGTGGCCGGCATTACTACGTTAATTATGATGAATGTAAAAAGTTTATGAAAGTCGAACTCCCTTCATGCCGTGCGACAGATAGGTACGGTGTTGGCCCCCAAAATAACTTTCCATTCAAACTCCTATTTGATTGACGGTTAATAAATCGTGAAAGTAATTATTGACTTTAATTATCGAAATCGTAGAACTGTATGTAAGCTCCTTACTTCGATTCGTGAAAATTATGAAGCCCATAACGTCTTGTAAAGAGTTCGGTGAATTAATTAAATATCAAGAAAGACCAACAAATTGTCAATAGAATGTCCGCGGAGGGCAAAGTCCATGTTATGCTAGCTGGAGACTCTACGGATTCATGTCTATTTTGACCAATAGATGAATGGTTTTTAGCGACTGTCAGTAAATAAAGTTTGTCTATGGTACAGGGTTTCCAGATGGAAGCGCAGCCTAAACCTCTAAATATTCAAATTAATTTTCGGTATCTTTATTGAACACTTATTCTGTACATCGGAGATCTTAGCATACAAGGAAGATGGATTATAGAATTTAGAAACTTGGTGTTCTTTTTTAATTTTATAGGCGATTTTTAGTCTATAGGCGACGGTTACGGTTCCATCAGGTGAGCCATCAGCTTGTTTGCCGTTCTAAGTTGTATAAACAAAAAAATATTTATAATGTAATTTATAAATTTAATTATAATGGTATTGCTATATATTGCCAGGGTGCCAGTGTAAGATGATGGGAGAGGATGCAGACAGATCAGTTTTTTATTAGTGATTATAGGCGGGGCATCAGTGATGGATGATAGATGGGGATCAAAGTAGGTCAGTTAGCCTATCATGATGAATTCCTCAAGAATTAACCAAGATGGTTTCCAGGGGGAACCACGTGGAGGTTAACCTGACAGGGTACACTGTTAGCAATGGGGATCTTAGACCCTGTTAGGTACTAAAAGTCCTTTTTCCCTCAAAATCGCGTATTAAGAGTTGCTTGTATGTATACGTAGCAGTATTTTGGCGGACAAAAAGTACGCTAAGGATGACCCTCGTATGTGTCGTCTCGAAGGGATAATTCAAATGCGGTTGTTATTTAAGGATTTTTGGGGGAGCGCCGGCTCGTGGGCACTTGATGACACGAGTGCTATTATCGTGCGGAAACAATTTGTGCCGGTACGGAGACTGCGATCATATTCTTTATTTTTACCAACTCCAAAAAATAAGAGATTGCTCCGTTCGATTATATTTTTAATCGACTTAAAAAGAGTACTTTCAGGGGAGTAAAATATTTTTTAATGTCTTTCAAAAATAGATTCTTAATTTGTTTCTTTTTTTTGTGGCCATGATCACATAACGTCTTTTATATTTGTACAAGCGACCTGTCTCGGTTTCGTACGAGTACAAATTGTAAAGACTTAAAAAGAAACAATTTAAATGTCAATGAAACTGTATCAAAATCCGTTCCATGGTTCAGTAGTAGACGGTGAAGCAGCGACTTCGTATTATACTATTTTATCCAGAGGGAGACTTGGTACAAAAGTCGTTTGTTTGGGCACCTCTGTCCCATTCGTGTTTCTATTGTGAAGCAGTTGTGTTTGCATAGCTGTGGGATATGGCAATGAATTTACAGGGTACAAAGGAATAACACCTGAGTCCTCAAGAATGTCAATGCATGGGGGGTATTATAGGCGAAACAGTATACTGTTATGTCCATGGTACTGCTCATGTCTATAGGCAACGGTTACCACTTTCCATCAGGGCCGTCAGCTTGTTTGCCATTCCAAGTTGCATAAAGAAAAATTTAGAAATGACTTATAAATAAAAATTGCAAATAAAACTTGAATGTCCAACGTTGTTTACGAGTATAAATTGTGCTTTCAATTTTTTTTGTTATTTTGTTCCCAGTTATTTAATTGGTTAATTTCACCACTCCATCAGAAACCTCTCAAATATTAATTCATTACATTTTTTATATTTTGAAGGCTCTCGGTAATGTTTGTGAATATAAAAGCCCGTAACTTTTATTACTTGAGAAATCTCACAATAATAAGTGCTCATAAACGAAAAACTTACGGTTTTATTTAACTAAAAGCTTCGACCTAATTTTCGTAAATACTTGCAGGCAGTGTTTAAAGGCGTGGTTTGTGAGGTGGCGGTACTTAGATATAGATGGATAGATACATTGATACACGGGTTGTTTATTTGTATATAAGTAATCACATGAAAAGGAAACATCATTATGGGTACCATCATTTTAGAGGTAAGCAAGTTGAAATGACAATGAGCAGGCTGTTAGTTCAAACTGATAACCGAAGCGGAAGTAAAGTGTCCATCTAGGTAAACACAGTGTAGGGCGACTTCCTGTTAGATTGTGGCATGAGTTCCAATATGTTGCAATGCTATGATGAATCGAAAGAACATTTATATCTCGTAGTCGATTAAAGTTTAAGCTTTAAGTATCATAATATTTTTAAGGCATTCTTGAAAAAAAATTGTTTTTAACTATTTATAGCGTACATCGGTTATGATGCGTGATTTGGTAAATACTTTTTTACATTTTAATGTAATAATTTATAATGAATGCACTATAAATTCTTCATTGATGGATTTATCAAAGTTTAACAGCCATTATTAGGAACGATGTGGCGGTAATGTCCACCTTTCAATGTGAAACGAACCGAATGAGGCCGAACTTTCGTTGAAGAAATCAAAACTTTGGCATTAGCCCGGTAAACGTGACCTTTTTGTATTGTTATTGTCATTATGTACCTATACGTACCGGCGCCGCGGTAAATGTCTGTCACGTGACGCGCCGCCATGTTGCCTC